TTCTGTATTGCATGGTATTGGGCGTGGAGATCCATGGAAAAGTATAACGTTATCATGGAGAAGAGTGGGTAGCATGTCAGACTTTTTCTTGTTGAAATCTTACACCTTTTACATATTTCTTGTATTTTCTTATAAATAAAAATCCTTCTTCACTGCAAGTTTTATGAATTTAAAATGTTTTATTGTTACTTTTTACTTTCTCGTATATACGAAGTATAGAGAAAGTCTTGTAATCGTGCAAAAAAAAAAATCGAGATTTTTGCAAATCTCGACGTTTTACATCTCACTGATACGGAAAAACATAATTTTGCAATCTTGTCCGTATGTCTGTGTGTCTGTGTGTGTGTGTGTGTGTGTGTGTGTGTCCGTGTGTAAACACGATAACTTGAGTACCGTTACAGCTAGGTTGATGAAATTTCATATACAAGTATTTTATCAAAATCGTAGATCCGTATCAACTTTTGAGCGATTTCGGATAACCGGAAGTGGTACGTTTTCTACTTTGAATTTTTCAAAAGCCTATAACTTGAGTACTATTTCAGATAGATAAATGAAATTTGATATGTAAGTAAAAGATCTAATTCTCTACCTTCTGTCAAATTTTGAGAATTTTTCGTTGACCGGAAGTACTTATTTACGCTACTTCCGATTTCTCAAAAAACTAATGTAAATTTTAAAAGTACTAATAATATTGCGCACTATTATGCGCTTTTTTATTCGCGTTCACTTGGTGTGCAATTAATTTGTCTACGAGATTTTATTCTATTTTTAAAACTTTAAGTATTTAAAATGGATTAAAAATCATGTCTAGAAGTCTATAGCCCGAGTTCCCATCCCCTGTTATTTTATATAAGAATATTCGAGAAAGTTTAGGGGAGATCACTCCCGGTTTATTTCTTATGAAAAAGGGTCCGCATCAAATACAAATACATTACAGAATAATTAAATTTTAAAGATATATATTTTCATTCACATAACTTTGCCAAAGATGTATGAAAATACTCAACTAATTTCCAACATTGCAATCTAAAAAGAAAATTGTTATACAACTATTTTAAGGACGTCTCAGCAGTATCGTTTTAACATGTAGATCAAAAATATATTTCTACAATTCGAAACAGAACATGAATAGTGTAAAACAGACACACTGTTGAAGATCAGCCGCACGAAAAAAGCCTGAATGGATGGGAACAATTACCCCATACACTGCCGCCACTCAAGTAGACGCCGTTAAAACTAGAATGTCCCCGGGCAACCGTTAACCGACATAGACTATTGAGATCGCCCAAACCCGTCAAACAAGTCATTGAAATCTGCCATTGGTAAAGGGCTAATTGTATTAGGTGAGGTTTAGCTTGAAGGAATGATGAATCTTTTCCTTTTGGTGGGAAAAGGTTAATTTACATAACAATAAAGCGACGTTCTCATGAAGTAAATAATGTATGCGGTGGTAGGGAGAGTTTTCTCAGCTAGATGGGTTGCTGTCCCAAGCTATCGAGGCTTATCAGCCCGGGGACTCGAACTCGGGACTTTTTTTACCGAACCGACCACATTGGCCCAACGAGTCTCTGAAAAATAAAACAATGCTGCCTTGCTGTTTGTCCGGAAAAAGAGCGTTCATGTGCTAGTGTTCTTTTATTTATAAGTAAGAAAGAACGGCTAGCATTTGTTTTTTAGAAATATGTTAATAGGAGAGTATTGTTAGGGTCAACTTTGTGAGGTTGGGTCTGGCAAAGGAATATTCGAAAAAATCGTGACGTCATTATCCGTCGATCGAATTTAAGACAACGGTGTAAGGCGCGTTTAAGATTGGATGAAAAACTTGGAATTCTTTATCAAAGCAACAACGATTATAAACGTCACAATACCTTTTGTTGAAGAATATCACACTTTTAAGCGATAATTCGAAGCTATAGAGACATAAAATTAAAACAGAAAAAAGTTACTTTAGTATCTTTTTATTTATTTAAATTTGTAGAAGCTTTTATTTAGTTCACAATATCTGTTTGCTTTTTATGTGTGCATTGTGGCAAATCTTATAACTCAATATTTTCCCACTTGCACTGCATCTCTTTCATTAGAACTTTCCAGATACGTACATCTTGGATGACAATGAAAGAATATTTATGAATTATGCTTTATGGCCACTCATTCAGATGTACGAGTGAATCTTTTGTGTATGACTAAGGCTACAACGTCATGACTGATTGTTAAAAAAATGTAAATGTCAATGTCTTATTTATTGTACAGTATGAGTGACTCACTAATGTGAAAGGATGCATTTACAATTTAAAAATGATATTGTATGAACACGGAATACAAAAGTTTCTTGATAAAAGCACCAACGGTTTAGTATCCAACGCCACCAGAGGGAATATATTATTTACACAACAAAAGACTGTTTTTAAAAATCAGAATAGAGATTTAATAGGGGAAATATGTTTCATTAGGCTATGCGATAGCGCTTGGGTTGAACGTGTTTCTTTCAAATGAAGAGTGGTTGAAATAAAGATTCAACTGTGGTGATTTTCTTAGTTTGATTATACGTCTATAAAAACTATTGTAACATATGAACTAAGATGACGGTGTATTTACTTTATAAGACACTGGCTCCTGCAGTCACATTTTGGATATATCTCCAGTGCTTCTGTTATGGTAATTATATGGTGACTTGATATTTCACAGAAATTATAATTTGCTATGTAAACTGACCGCGAGTAATATAGTAACTTAAACATCTTAAAAAAATAAACGTGTCACCGCCTTATGACGTGATGTTGGTGATCGCAATCCAGGGTTACAAGACCAAAGAAAAAAATATCCTTTTTGGGAAAACCCCGAATGTAGTTTAGTGCTGGTCTTCGGTCGTATTTTCTTATTTAAAGACTGATAATTTTTGTGGATAAACGGAGACAAATTAAAAAAAAAAGTTTATTAGGACAGTTTAATTTAGATTGTGATTTATCTTGCACATGGACTACTATATTTTTCTCTGCTACTTTGGAGAAATAAGTGTAGGATGGCTGAAATCTGACTAGTGACTACAACCTTATATAACCTTATATACGACAAATTCCAGAAAGACACTTGCTTGAATGCCGTTTACCTGAAGGCCATTTTCTCGAATGGACGCTTTCTCGAATGAGAAAAATGACCGAATGGACACTTTCATATAAGCCTCTATATATTCAATTAAGTAGTCAACAACAACCAATGGGAGTTCATTGGTTGGTTGACAGTACCCTCTAGCCTCCAGGCAAAATAAGTCGCACTCTAGAATAATCGTTACAGGTGTCAAATTAAAAAAAAAACTTCATTAGTTACATATATATAGGGAGGCAACCAAATACAAAGTTCATGTATTTAATGATTCAATAATATTTAGCGTCAAAAAATAAGAAAAACGTTTTCATACAATTAGTGTTATAACTAGACTACCCGTTATCTAGTTAGATAACTATGGGTTTCGGGGGTCATCCATAAATGACATCACGTCTGTCACTTATCACAAAATAACAAGACCCCACATTCAAAAAGACGTTTTTTTTATCTTTTAAAAACATCGATTTCGGCTGACCACACTATCCCTTAATTATTAAAAAAATGTATTTTATAAACAATTTCTCTGAAATTACAAATTACACATATAATGTAATGATAAACGAAACACGCGCTTATTTTGTTAATTAATGCGTAATTAAGTTCAATGTGATTTTATAATCTTTTTGTATAGTATAATTTTACATAGTGATCTGCTTATAAAACCTAAATTCTAGATTCCCTTTTCGCTGTGGAGGTGAGAGAGTTTGAGTACACAACTTTCGACACAAAAGACTTCATGGTACTCAAATTTCAAGAACAGTTCACCATGGACTCACCGATTGTGTGTGCCGTCAAATGCAAGTTCTACAACAAAACCTGCAATCATTTCAGCTTCAACAGCGAGCACAATATTTGTTCCTTGGGTAAGTATGTAAATAAAACTGTACGATTTCGTAAAGAAAGAATGTAAGATTATAGATTACACATTATGTAATATGAACTTTATATCAATATATATATATATATTAGTCCACACATTAGTTCAAAGGTCGATGCAAAACAATCGAGCATGTCATATCTGTTCTATCTCACTGCTTATGGCATCGTGTGGTCGCATGGTAGATCGTACAAATGCTAACCCAGAAATATCACGTTTGTGTCCTAGACGTCCCTGAGCCCATCCAGCTCTAATGGGTACCTGTCTCACGCTGGTAAAGGTAAAGGCGGCTTGACGAATAGTTTACCACACTATCGCTTTATATGCCCATGTCACTGATACACTCTATTAAGAACTATAAAAAGGAAGCACTTAACTTTGTTGCAGACATTATGTTGAAAGAATGTTGTTATTGATCCAATTCTGTTATCACATTATGACTGAGGTTTAAATTATTATTAAATAAACCCTTTATTTTAATCCCACAAAAACAAATACAAAGTAAAAATGCATTATTATGGGAATTTCTCTCTTAAAAATTATCTGACAAGATTCATTTAAATAATATAGTTTAAACCGCTGCGGTTCTCGTTCTAAAAAATCATACTAAACATAAGCGATATTCTAATATTTTTATCACTTGCACACCAAAATGAAAAACGAAAACATTGATCAAGTAGTCAGCTTTATATATCTCTGAAATATGTCAAGGTGTGGGTAGGAACAGTCGAAGACATCAAACGCGGAATAAACTTAGACAGACGGGCATTTGCAAATCTTAGTAAAATCACCTAACATGTTTAAAAAAACTAAAATACGAGTCTTTAACTCCAAAGTTAAAGAAGTTCTGATCTACGGATCCGAGACTTTAAAAACGTCAGAAGCAACAACAAAAGTTATCACAAATTTTATCAGTAGGTGCCTAAAATAAAAGTAATAAATAAAATAGGCAGACAGGCAAGGAAAGGAAAATACACAACTATAGGATATGTGTGGATAGGAAACAGTCGAGAAGCAAATCATGGAGGGACTCAGGGATCGACCAAATAAAACATGGCGACGTAGCGTACTAGAGGAGGCTGAAAGGAAGGAAGGAATTGGGAAGAGTGGTAGGAGACGGTGGGGGGGGGGGGGAGTGGATAACTTTGACAGAGGCTCTATGTTACGCATGGAACTAAAAACAAAATAGTGATGATACGTTAAAAAAATGGTCGAGCACATGAAAGCTATTGATGTTTTGTTATCATTGGAATAGCTCATGTTTTAAACCTCTTTAAACGTGTCCTTATTCTAATTTTTTTAGGTTGTGCAGTATTAAAGCAACAGAGCAATTAAGCATTACACTTAGATTTAGTTTGATATCTGTTTGAGATGATTTGGCTAGGTAAAATCTCTAGGTAAAATCTCTAGGTAAAATCTCTAGGTAAAATCTCTAGGTAAAATCTCTAGGTAAAATCTCTAGGTAAAATCTCTAGGTAAAATCTCTAGGTAAAATCTCTAGGTAAAATCTCTAGGTAAAATCTCTAGGTAAAATCTCTAGGTAAAATCTCTAGGTAAAATCTCTAGGTAAAATCTCTAGGTAAAATCTCTAGGTAAAATCTCTAGGTAAAATCACTAGGTAAAATCTCTAGGTAAAATCTCTAGGTAAAATCTCTAGGTAAAATCTCTAGGTAAAATCTCTATTCCCAGGCTACTGGCTGGTGCCAGCCAACACGACTGTCAGGAACGAGCAGATCTACTCTGTGGGCGGGAACTTTTGTGACACCAGGGCCAACGTCACGCTTCAGCCAAACGGTGACCTGACACCTTGTGACAAATACGCCTGTGTTGGTGAGAGAAACCCGTCTGTTTGATTTTACAGTAATTAATGCTAGTAATTCTTTACCAATTCGTAATATTATTATGTAATACAATGTTGATATTTAATGACAGGTCACAGCATTAACGTAGGAAACAACACAGACAGTACGAGTCTACCTCGTTATAAATCGTGTAAAGACATCACAGACAAGACCAGCCCGAGGATGTTGATCCGACTGCGCAACGGTCTGGTCGTCATGTGTGACACGGAGAGTGACGGGGGCGGCTGGATTATCTTCCAACGTCGTATCACAGGAGCTCTTGATTTCTTTCGCAAATGGGCCGAGTACAAGAACGGGTTTGGGGATTACGAACTGGGCGAGTTTTACCTCGGTAATGAAAACATCCACTGCCTGACCAACGTCACAAGATACGACATGAGAGTGGACGTCAGATTGAATGGGCAAAACTACACCTTCAACTTTACCGACCTTAATGTTGCAGACGAATCGAACTTCTACACACTGAGATTTTCATCAGCAAGCTCATATATGTACGCACAACACAACAACTCGAAATTTAGCACCTACGATCGGGACTATGACCCCTTTATAAACGGGAACTGCGCCATCATGTGTCAAGGGGCTGGCTGGTACTGTACCTGTCCAGCCTGCTATTACCTCAACATGAACGGAGTTTGGAACGCAACGTCTTACCCTGGGATGTTTGCTAGGTCCCTCTCCAACGTAACCAACGTCGACTTTGTGGAGATGAAAATAAGAGAAAATTAAAGCTTTGAAATTTAATAGTTTTCCTGGGCATAAAATTGTATTTTTCTTTAAGTGTGGGTATCAATATTATAAACCTAAAATTATAATAATAATGGAGTTTAAAAAATATTTTGATTCGATTGAAAAAAAAAATTAGCTTTTCTACAGGAAAATTATTAGGATGACATAAATTTGGCTGCTATGAAATAGTTATTTTAATAATCGGTATTTTTACAATTTAATCAATTTGAAAATGATAAAATTTTACTTTAGTCTACGAAACCGACTTGCCTCTGTAGAAATTTGTGTTTCCAGTGCCAGATTGATGGCACAAAAATTCTACTTTTTTGCATTTTTCAACTCATACTAGAGCATAGGCTATTTTCTGCCACTTGCTATTTTTTCCAACTTTCCTATTATTTTCTTGTCTTTTCCAGTTTCACTGTGTAAGGTATTTCAGTGTCTCCCAATTTTTTTTAAATCCTTGATATGCCTTGTCTGGTCTCCAAAGTTGCTTGATTTACCTTCTCCATCTCGGTACAACGCTAGACTGCTAACCCGAAAGTCTCGAGTTCGAATCCGTGTTCAGGTCTGTAGGGCGTGCCTGAGTCCACACAGCTCTAATGGGTGCCTAACTCACGTTAGGGAAATTAAAGGCGGCTGGTAATAGTGCTGACCTTATATACCGTTGTCTCTCAAACATATGAACTCCACTTCATCCACTTCTCATACTTCGTCGTATTTTTCCATTGCCTATATGGTTACCTTCTTCAGTGTAAAGCTGGAAATCTGCAGTTCATCTCCCTTTTGGGATTGACTGGTTCGCTTCTTATAAGGAAATACGGATGTAGGGTGCAAACCTGTTGACCTCAGAGTTTCTTTCAGGCTTCTCTTTGGGGGAGGAGGAGGAGGTTGGCTTAAATATTGAAAGAAAAATAAGATAATTTATATAGAAAATATATACTTTAATCTCCTACCCTCGAGGATATTCTAAAGTGCGCCTCTCTCCTCGAAAGTTTTAACTGCGCTCCCCCATCTTACCCCAATGTAATAGTTTTTGTTTTTCTTAAAATCATGCTGGTATTTGGAGAATTAATATAAAACATTGTTATAGGTATAATTCATGTTTTAATTTAGAAATTTTACTAGTTGGTATTTGTAAGAAAATACATTTCTCCCTTTAGGTGTTGTTGTAAGTGTGCTTTGAAATATGCTATTTTTTAAAATTGCACATGTGTATTGCAATATTTAATTAAGCAATGAATATTTTAAAAGCGTGCACGCATTAGAAATATTTATCTTCTAATAAAATTAGGTATTTTATAATTATTTTATACAGAAGGAAGTATGAAAAATTACCTACTTGATTGCATACCTATCCCAACGCAAATGATATATCAGTTATTTACGGGTAGTGTAAATAATGTAAAGACTGCGGGGCTACTTTGCATTTGTTTGCAATCTTGTAGCATACAGGCTTACAGGGGAGGTTGTGGTGAAGTGAAATGCTGTTTGTAACTATCTTTTACTTGCTTATATTTTTACACAAACTCTTGAATGTTCTAATAAATACTTTATCAACATTTGTGTATTAGTTGACACGTTTTTTTTTACTTTCTAGTATACAGAGTATAGGGGAAGTAATTAAATCGTGCTGAATAATTAACATATATTTTTACAGTTTTCGCCGTTTTACAGCTTCCTACTTTATCGTATACGGAACATAAAGCATACGTTGTAATTGTGCAAAAAAATATTTAATAGCGATTTTGAGAAACTTAGACTTTTTGAATTATTCGGAACAGAAAAAGACATGGTTTTGGAATTTTATCTGTGTGTCTGTGTTTCTGTGTGTTTGTGTGTCTGTGTGTCTGTGTGTCTGTGTGTCTATGTGTCTGTGTGTTTGTGTGTAGAATCTGCTACAATAAAGTACAGTGGCGTAGCCAAGATCGTCTCAAGGGGGGGGGGGTTACCCGGGGACAAACTTTCGATTTGCACCCCCCCTCCCTCAAACTTTTGATTTGCACCCTCCCCTCAAACTTTCGATTTGCACACCCCCCCTCATACTTTATATATATGCTGAGGGGTTTATGGGGGGGGGGGGTTATGACCCCCCTAACACCCCCTGCCTACACCACTGATAAAGTACAATTATTTATAAAGTACCTTTTACTTGATGTTATACAGACATCTCTTATAACTCAAATATGAGAACCCTCATTCTACTCTGTCAGCGAATCCGTCTGGAATGGTTATGTTAAATCGGTACAGTATCGTTTATTCATGGAGAATAAAAATGCATGAAATGACGCATATGAGTGCTAACAATCAGCCTGTTCGTTACGTCTCACTAAACATGTACGAGAAAAAAACTTGGACAAGTCTAAACATGAAAACGCCCACACCACTTTCCTTCCCCACTCACATGTCACGCACGGGTTCCAGTAAAACGTCTGATGCACGTCCCACACAACGTCTGATGCACGTCCCACACAACGTCTGATGCCCGTCCCACACAACGTCTGATGCCCGTCCCACACAACGTCTGATGCCCGTCCCACACAACGTCTGATGCCCGTCCCACACAACGTCTGATGCACGTCCCACACAACGTCTGCTGCACGTCCCACACAACGTCTGATGCCCGTCCCACACAACGTCTGATGCCCGTCCCACACAACGTCTGATGCACGTCCCACACAACGTCTGATGCACGTCCCACACAACGTCTGATGCCCGTCCCACACAACGTCTGATGCCCGTCCCACACAACGTCTGATGCCCGTCCTACACAACGTCTGATGCACGTCCCACACAACGTCTGCTGCACGTCCCACACAACGTCTGATGCCCGTCCCACACAACGTCTGATGCCCGTCCCACACAACATCTGATACACGTCCCACTTAACGTCTGATGCCCGTCCCACACAACGTCTGATGCCCGTCCCACACAACGTCTGATGCACGTCACACACAACGTCTGATGCCCGTCCCACACAACGTCTGATGCACGTCCCACACAACGTCTGATGCACGTCCCACACAACGTCTGATGCCCGTCCCACACAACGTCTGATGCCCGTCCCACACAACGTCTGATGCCCGTCCCACACAACGTCTGATGCCCGTCCCACACAACGTCTGATGCACGTCCCACACAACGTCTGCTGCACGTCCCACACAACGTCTGATGCCCGTCCCACACAACGTCTGATGCCCGTCCCACACAACGTCTGATGCACGTCCCACTTAACGTCTGATGCCCGTCCCACACAACGTCTGATGCCCGTCCCACACAACGTCTGATGCCCGTCCCACACAACGTCTGATGCCCGTTCCACACAACGTCTGATGCCCGTCCCACACAACGTCTGATGCCCGTCCCACACAACGTCTGATGCACGTCCCACACAACGTCTGATGCACGTCCCACATAACGTCTGATGCACGTCACACACAACGCCTGATGAACGTCCCACACAACGTCTGATGCCCGTCCCACACAACGTCTGAGGCACGTCCAAAAACGACTGATGCACGTCGCACACAACGGCTGATGCACGTCCCACACAACGTCTGATGCCCGTCCCACACAACGTATGATGCACGTCCCACACAACGTCTGATGCCCGTCCCACACAACGTCTGATGCACGTCCCACACAACGTCTGATGCCCGTCCCACACAACGTCTGATGCCCGTCCCACACAACGTCTGATGCCCGTCCCACACAACGTTTGATGCCCGTCCCACACAACGTCTGATGCCCGTCCCACACAACGTCTAATGCCCGTCCCACACAACGCCTGATGCACGTCCCACACAACGCCTGATGCACGTCCCACACAACGCCTGATGCACGTCCCACACAACGCCTGATGCACGTCCCACACAACGCCTGATGCACGTCCCACACAACGCCTGATGCACGTCCCACACAACGCCTGATGCACGTCCCACACAACGCCTGATGCACGTCCCACACAACGCCTGATGCACGTCCCACACAACGTCTGATGCCCGTCCCACACAACGTCTGATGCCCGTCCCACACAACGTCTGATGCCCGTCCCACACAACGTCTAATGCACGTCCAAAAACGTCTGATGCCCGTCCCACACAACTTCTCATGATAGAGCTTGGTTTAACAGGTAAACAAGAAATTATAGAGTGACTTAAATACAGAAACACACACATATACACACATTAATTTTATGCTTCTGAAACTGTGAGTTTCATTTATCATTAAAAACATAATTCTTACAATTATAGCACAAATAATTAGTCACACGATTCAAATTACACATTTTTTTAAAATACAAAAATGTTACATACATTTTTTTAATTTTAAAAATAAATATTTTAAAAATAAATATTTTCATTCGCATAAGTTTGCCGAAGATGTGTGAACATTCTTAACGTATTTTCAACATAGCAATCTAAAAAAGACATTGTTATACAACTATTTTAAGGACGTCTCAACAGTGCCGTTTGAACCTGTAGATCAAAAATATATTTCTACCATTCGAAACAGAACATGAATAGTGTAAAACAGACACACTGTTGAAGGTTAGCCGCATAAAAAGTCTGAATGGATGTGAACAATGACCCCCATACACTACCGTCACTCACATGAACGTCATTAGAACTAGAATATCACCTAGCAACATTTAACTGACATAGAATCTTGAGATCGTTCCAACTCGCCAAACAAGACGTTGAAAACTGCCATTGATAAAGCACTAATTGTATTAGGTGAGGTTTAGCTTAAAGGAAAGATGAATATTTCCCTTTTGGTTGGAAATGGTTAATTTACATAACAATAAAGCGAAGCGTGTGAAGTAAATAATGTATGCGGTGTATCTCAGCGTGGTAGGGAGAGTTCCCTCAGCTAGATGGGTTGTTGTCCCAAGCTACCGAGGCTTATCGAACCTCGGGACTTTTTGTGAGGTTTACTGAACCGACCACACTGACCCAACGAGTCTCTAAAAAATTAAACAATGCTGCCTAGCTGTTTGT